GAGGGAGGGAGGGAGGGGAAAAAGAGATATATCTATGTAAGTATGCAGGACGGCTTGGATAATTCTACTGTGGATTTCCGCGGGTCTAAGGAGCAGTTAATGATTATTTTTTTTTCTCTCTCTCTTCTTAATTTCTTATACTTTTTCCTTTTTCCAATTTTGCTTGCATTTATCTGGTACTCTAAACAACTAATTTGAAGACAACACCGCAATATAACAAATACTGTCAAACTAGTATTTTGTTTAGTGAAATTCTGTATCATTTTTAATTTTTTATTATCATTATTTTCTATTCTCTCTTAAAAATAAATTAGTAAGGGAATTGTTAAAAGAATGCTGGAAGAACATGAAGGTAATTTTTAATGCAGACTGTTAATATGGCAACCAAGTGTCGGGGATACAGCTTAGTGGCACAAGCGCCTGCTTGGCAAGTGCAAGGCCCTGAGTTCGATTCCCCGTACAAAGAAAAAAATGGCAAGACCAACTGTTCACAGTGGTTTTGGAAACACTGCACCCTGTGTTAACATGGAAACTAGAAAGAACACATGATAACAAGTTTGCATATTTAGTTACGGAGATTTCTAGGTAGACTGTTGAAAGTGCCAGACAGCATCTTTCAGGTGTGTATTACAAAATGCAAGTAAACTGAAGTGAACTTAAAACTGCGTTTTGAAGCACAATTAAGCAAAAATTTTCTGGCATTGAAAAATAAAACTTAGCATCAAAAACCTGCCTATGATCCAAACCTCTCCTTGTCAAAAACTACCGAAGCAAGAAACGACCTCAGGGCAAACAATCGAAGCTGAAGCATTGTCAGTATAACATAACCTCAAAGCCAAGATCACAGAGTGGCTCTCGGATTTGTTGTCAAAACCTCAAAAAGACTTAAGGCAGTACATCAGAGGTCCCCTCAGCTAGGTAAAATTTATTCTCAGAATCTTAGCCTCTTAGCTCATCTTTGCCAGACAGGAGCACTCCTAAAATTAAGGACACAAAGGGCTGGCCAGATAGTTCAGTGGATTAAAGCCCCTGCTTAGAAGAGCGCAGCGGCCGGGGTTTGACCCCCAGAGTGTGGTGACAACACGGCTGAGACAGTGATTGAGACTGGGCGTGGTGCCTGTGCCTATAATCCCAGCACTTGGGAGGCTGAAAACAGGAGGATCATTGCAAGTCCAATTTATGTAGTGAGACCTAAAGACCCTGTATCAAATACATTAAAAAGTAATAATAAAATAAATAAAATAAAATGAAAAACACTATGCTGCAGCACCCTGACTCTCAGCCTGAAGAAACAGGGACCCTTCTTGAAGATAGCTAACAGTGTCATGTTGGCTAATTAATATAATAATTTGTCACACAAGAAGCCCACAAAATACTTAAGAGAATCATAGCATTTTGAGCTGAAAGAAACAGGGACAAAGTTTAAAGTAAAACTAGGCACTTGAAATCCCCACATTTTTGGAATCTATACAGAGATTCTAAATATATTAAACTACAAATATAAAAACGATGTCTGATGGAAATACAGCTATTCATAGGGTAAAGCCAATGCCCAAGGGAAAAGCCAAGAACTTCAGAATTGTTGAGATCTGCTGACAGTTAAATGGCTCATGCTTTTCCTCCTTCCATCTTTGTTTTTGTTGTTGTTGTTGTTGTTGCTGCTGCTGTTTGTTTTGTTTTGTTTGTATTTTAGAGAAGGGTCTACAGGGTGTTCAGGGTCTCACCACTAGATCAGACTCGTGATCCACCTGTTTACAGCCTCCCAAGAGCCAGAATTACAGGCTCACACCACCACGCCCAGTCTCAATTGCCTTCTCAGTGTGCCCCGGGGGCTGAGCCGGCATGCAGGCCCAGGGATCCAACCCCTAGCCCCTGCACCTACTTACAGGTGCTTTAATCCACTGAGCTATTTGGCCGGCCCTCCCTCCTTCCATCTTTGGAAGACAAACATCTATTCCAAGTTTTCTGTTCCTGACTCACTATTATATGTAAGGGATAGACAACTGGCCTCTTCTATTCACAGATTTTTAAGAGTGTAAATTGAACAGAGTGATAGCCAAGGACTACTGCCTACTTGGACCAGTTCAAATACTGAAATCTGTATTTGAAGCCTGAGCCTGATGTAAGTAATAACATAAGACTAAGATCTGAAAGGGGAGTAAATATATTTCTCTAAATATAGAGGGGACATGAATGGCTCGGTGGCTAGTCTGCGGCAGCTCATCTCCAAATGTGGTCCCCAGTAGGCGACACCTCCCACAATTCCTACCTTGTGCACCCCCACCCATGCTGCATCACAACTAAGTCTAAGATTTGCTATAACAAATGCAGTGCAAGTGAATATGTGCTAATTCCAAGCCAAAATCTTGAGTCCTGAAGCTTCTGTTTTCATGGTTTGGGAGACTAAGTTGCAATATAAGAAGTTTGGCTGGCACAGAGAAAGCATACGAAGATGACACAAAGAAAGGCAGAGGGATAATTACTAAGAGACAAAAACAGATCAAACCACATGCCCATGCAGCCCCGCAGAGCTCAGGTCTGCAGCTGCTTCCTTCAAAGTAGTGATTGTGGAAGTGAAAGCCCCCGCACGTCCAGCTCAGCGAAGCTCCTAGACGGCCTCGAATCCACCTAAGATCTAACATCACCTTAGTCCTGCAGAATCTTTTCTTTTGTATTTTAATAAGGGTCTACAGGGTCTCACCATGTAGATCAGACTCGTAGTGATCCACCTGTTCACTGCCTCCCAAGAGCTGGGATTAGAAGCATGCGCCACCACGCCCAGTCTCAATTGCTGTCTCAGTGTGCCCCGGGGGGTGGAGCCAGCATGGCAGGCTGGGGGTCAAACCCCTGGCACTGTGTCTGCCTAAGCAGATGCTTTAATCTGCTGAACTTTTTGCCCAGCCCTCAGTACTGCAGAATCGTGAGAGACAATTCACTTATATGTGATTTGTTAAATGAAAATAGAATATTTTGAAAATCAGATAATGTATAATAGCCAAACTAGAAACTGCTGCAAAAATAACAGGCCTATACAAGTGGTTAATATCATTAAATGAAAAGAACTCATAGAACCTAAGCTAAACTGCAAGCCTTCAAGAGAGAAACATTAAAAAAAAGGAAGAAAGAAACATAAAGGATCCAATCCATCTACAAATGGGAGGAAAAAATCAAAATGACCAATAATCATACACAAGCTGTCATCATTAAAGACCATTAATACTCAAATACTGTTTGTAAGAATGTGAAGTTGTACAATTATTAGGAGAACAACTTGTCAACATATCATTTGCATAGGTAATTAGATAACCACATATCCAAATAAATAAAAGCATCAATTTCAAACTTAAGTGTCCAGCAATGTAGAAATTTTTTAAATGAATGGATATTCGTATTTGAGGACATTGTGCATGTTGCAAATATTTAAGAAAATTCAGGTAGTATACTTAAAATGTTTGCTAAAAAAAGCATAATATAAAAATATATACAATCTGATCATGCTTTTAAAACAAAGTACATATACACATAAAAAGACTATGATAAAATAAAACTTAAATGTGGCCACAGAATTATAATTATTTATATTGTCTGTTATGCTTCTCCATTTTCTAAATTTTCTGACTGTACATTATTTTCACATCCAGTGAAAGAAATCATTTCCCAGAAAAGAGATATTTATTAACACTGTATTTTTTTGAAATTTGGAAGGGAATTTAGAAACCACCTAGCTTGGTATATCACTGAAAAGATAAAGAAAAAGGTCTACAGATTTAGGTAGGTGCCTGAAGTACTTCAAGATAGACTCTTAAACTCAAATACCTTACTCTTTGACCTGTATACTCTTTAACATTGTATTTTTAAAGAAAGTTCATTTGTAATAGTGTTTCAAATAGATGTATAGGTCTAAGTAACTTATTTTTAGAAAAACTATACTTTAGTGTGCCTTTCAATTTATAATCTGATTGTTCTCACTTTAAACCTTAAAATTATCTGTAACAAGAATTGGTGCTATTTCCTATTTTATTACAAATTTTATTACAAATTTGCACTAAAATAACTTTCCAGACTTTTAAATTTCCTTTGAATTTATTTTTTATTGTTGTTGTTATACTTTAGGTTCAAATTTTCATAAGTCTAGGACATTAGTTTATATAACTGGAATCTCAAGTTACTTTCCTATTTCTTTGAAGGTTTCATTGGTTAGTATACATGGGGTAGGAATATTCAATACACTGAGAAATATTTTTAGTGGGCAACATTAAAATATATGTTCAATCTATTTGTATTTCATTAGTTTTTAAAATAAATCATTTTGATTTGCTAATCTTGTTCTTCAAATGTGAGGGCTGTCACCTTAAATTCAAAGTCTTCTTTTGGATTTATTTTTTAAAGCTACCTTTTAATTTCAAATCTGGGGAAAGCAAGCTCGTGTTTTTTCTCTCAGCTAAGTTTAGATAGCTACTTTGCCACCTAATTTTAGTTGGGAATGAGAACAAATTCCTCCTCGCTCCCACTGGATCTACAGGGAGATTTCTCAATGTTACCTTTGGTGAAGATGAGTCTGTTTTTAAAATGCCTGTATGTACATTCCTCAGTCTCACTACTGGTGGCAACAGTGTGTTTTTCATCTTATCCTCTAGCATGGTTTTCGGTTGCTGTTCATCTAAAGGTGGTGTTTTCCCCTCTTCTGTTACTTTCAGGGTAGGAACAATGGACAGTGGAATCTCTGTGGGTGGAGCCGTTGACTCAAGAGCACTGGGAGCAGCAGCCGTTGAACTATCTTGGTCCTCAAGTTTCAACGTCGGTATAGCCCAGTCTTTCTTCACATTTTCTGGCAGCTAAAAATATACCAGTAAAAACTATCAGTTGATTAGGAAAGCATGTAAAGTCAAATCAATTGCACCCCCACCTCTATCAGAAGTTACCATTAGTACTTGTAAATTATTACATTCCTTAATAAAAGACAATGAGAAATTCTCTATGTGCCTGAAACCATGGACAATAGCACATTATTAAAAATGACAAAGAAATGTTTTATAAAAGCATTTATTGGGGCTGACAAGATAGCTCAGTGGTCTAAAGCGCCTGCTTAAGCAAGGTTAGGCAAGAGCAGGGACCGAGGTTCAATCCCCGGCACCACATGCCACACCCCCAGGGTGGGCTGAGCCAGTCACACAAAAAAATAAAAAATTAAAGTATTTATTCATGTATTTTTGGATGAGCTACATCTTTTTTCCTTTTTTTTTTGAGAGAGAGAGTCTTGCTGTGTCATTCAGGCTAGCACTGAACATACTATTTAGCCCAGGCTGGCCTCAAATTCGCAGTGATCCTCCTGCCTCAGCTTCCTGAGTGCTGGGATTATAGGCGTGTATCACCATGCCTGGTTTCAACAACATGTAAAGAAAGAAAATCTGGGGTCTGTTGTTTTACCATTATACTATGATCAGTATGTCATGAAGTATGAGAGACTTTAATAGCACAATCACTCAAACAACATAATTACAATACGTCATAAAGGAAATTCTAAAAGCAATATAGCACAAAGAAGGAGATCATAAAATAAAAGATAGCTTATGAACCTGAATAAATTCTGCATTATAAAAATTTCCCATGCTTTTTCTTCTGCTGGGGAAAACCTAGTGACAATGAACCTTCTAGAGCTTTCACAGACAAGCAACATGTATGCCATAGGTTCGCCAACAAGTATATACTGATTCTTCAACTGGTATTTGGTAGCCACTGGCTTAAGGATGAAAATCACTAGATCTTATTTGACCAAAATAAGTAGAAAAAAAAATCCCTATTATTCTTTGATGGTTTCCTTGGAAGTTAACTGCTCAGTGGAATTAATAGCGCCTATAAAATTAGCTGGAAGATGAATTATATTAAGTGAATTTCATTCTTCCCATAAAATATATAATATTCCATGGGCTGAGTTTAGAAAATGATACAAAATTTTGGTGAGAAAGTGTCAAAAGTGCAGTTAGGTCTGTACCATCCGTTTTTAGGATCTTATGCAAAGCTTCATGAGTTTTTTTTTCCTATTTTCCTCAGCACCTTTTGTATATTATTTTCATATGTATTTTTATTTATTTATTTATTTATTTAGTATTTAGTACAGGGTCTGCAGGGTGTCACTACACAGATCGCACTGATAGTGATTCTCCTGTTTTCAGCCTCCCAAGCGCTGGGATTACAGGCATAGGCCACCACGCCCAGTCTCAGTCTCTGTCTCAGTGCGCCCTGGGGGTGGGGCTGGCATGGCACACTGGGGATGGAACCCGGTCCCTGAGCCTGCCTAAGTGGTGCCTGTGCTTGTCTGCTGAGCTATCTGCCTGGCCCTCATATGTCTGGTTTTTTTTTTTCAGGAATAGATTTTTTATTTTAAAGAATACAAAAAAGAATAGAAAGATATAATACAAGGAAAGGGAAAGCAGGATCCCAAGGTCTAACAAATCAAGAGAGGGAAAGGAGATGAGCTAGGAAACATGGCAATGTTAAACCATGCAGTTATATGTAAAAGATGAGCAAGGCAATGATCCTGAGAATATTCAGAAGATTCTTTAATCTAGGAGTTAATTGGAAAGATTCTCACCCTGACTAACTATATATACTGATACCTGGGAACTAAGCTACTGCACTGCAGATTGTAATTTGTAACAGTAGTTTCATGTTGGGAATGCCTGTCATTGTGGTATTTTGAATATGGGCGGCTTGTCATGACATGCCATTTACTGCTAAGATGTCTCTAGGGTAGATGGATGTTCAAGAAGAAGGCGGTGGTGAAGGAAAGCAAGAGACAGGAAAAGGAATATTGTGGGACTGTCCTGCTTCAAGGTTGTATATGGTGAGATTTTTGGACTTATGTGCAAACATGAGAAGCATAGAATTCTTTATCTTATTTTTTAAAATATAATCTAATTTTTAAATGTTTTTTTATCATATTATGTAGGGACTTAAAGTTCAACATATCAATACTTGATGAAAAATACCTGTTCCTTATTATGCCTAAGATGTTTGAAATGCAGTGAGATAGTGAGGTTAAGATTGATAGCCCAAATCGTTTGATAATAACAATAAGCTTTTCTTCTGGATGGTTAACAACCTAAGTTTGCAGACCAAATTAGAGAAAAAGGAAGGATACAAGGAAAGCCAACATTTTGGCCCTAACCTTCTAAGGTCAATTAAGACTCAGGACATATGAGAACTTGTACTGTAACGTCATGTACCTCGGTAGTGTCCCAAATTTTCTGATCAAGAAGATTATGGGGCCAAAGAGGAAAGTGATCGATGACGTAGAGTGTGCCTAAGGAGAGTCACATGGGGAGAAGACACTCTCTCAGGCTTTCACAGAGAGCACATTGGCCAAGCAATGGCCGTGACTCATCCACATGGCTGCACTGATGAAGGTTCTACAATCTGAGGTACAGGATCTCAGGACAAATCCTGAGGGCATTTCACTGACCTTCTCAGACCCAAAAGCTACAACTCTTGTTGCATAGG